AAAAAAAAAAAATAATAATAATAATAAAAAAAAAAAAAAAATAAAAAAAATAAATAAAAATAAATAAATAAAAAATAAAAAATTAATGAACATCAATGAATTCCTTAATTGATTATTAAGTTTCAAATGAAAGCGCAAATGTAAAATTATTGCAATCAGAAAACTCTAAAGCGGTGATGACACTTGGAACTCAGTCGTGTGGGTCTTTTCCAGCCAGCCGAAGGGATCCACAGGGGTGAGTGCCCAGCCCATGAAAATATCTATTCGTTGCAAGTTTATTTTTAGATACACAGACTTGCAATTACGCAAGTATTATCATCAAACCCTAAACACACTTGTGGTGTGAATATATCAAGATCGAATCATATCTACTTCATTTTATGGGAAAGAAATTTGAGAAATCACAAGCTGACTTTTTATTTTTCTTCTTTTTTCATATCATAAATCTTTAACTTTGGGAAGAAACTTATAATAAGGGACTTTTATCCTCCTATGATCCACTTCAATAGGTAAAGTCATAATATAATGCATCATAGTTGCTCCTGAAGGGTGAAAATCGCTAACACAACAGCAAAGAGACTTGGGGGTTCTCGCCTCATGAATTGCCTAAATTTTTCGTTGTAGGAGTTTATATTCACATTGGTAATTCTACACTCACATCCAAATATGAAACGGACATTAACTCATTTTCGACCACTCCTAGCGAAATTCTCCCTCCCACCGCCAGGGATGCCCCCCTAAATGCTCTTCCCAATTCTTTCAGAGGAAATTTTCATTTATCATGAAAAATCTTATTCTAAAATAGAAAAATTAACCAGGGAAATTCAAAATGTTTTCATATCCCTATTTCAACAGGTGTGAAAAAGAAAGAAGACATGAAAAGATCATAGCAACTGTCACTGAAGAATAACGATGCAACTGTGATGCTTGAAATTTCGTGACACTTTGTGCAAGTGAAGTGAAGTGAAGTGCAGTCCAGTCAAGCTAAGTAAAGTGATGTGAAGTAAAGTAAAAAAAAAAGAAAAAAAAAAAAAAAAAAAAAAAAAAAAAAAGAAAGACAAAAAAGAAAGAAAAAAAGCCAGCTAACTAACTGCCTCATAAAAATCCTTCAAATGGAAGAACTAACCTAGATCTTGTGAGTGAGGGTTTCAGTGACATTTAATGTACTATAATATAATGTAATATCTCCACCACTTACAAACATGAGTAACAGCTTGCTCCAGTGTCCAATTATCAAGCTATCATAAAAGATATTTCTAATGGTTGTCTAAATCTATATATACTATAACCATTTCCTCTTTGTGGTTTAGTAATTAATCCATATACAACAAGGAAAAAATTTAAAAACACTTCAGTTGAAAATTAGTAGGGCTTTTATAATTTCATCATACTATCTCTGACTAACTAATATTCTTACACTGAATGATTTTTTTTACTACTTGCTGTCTGTATATACTACTGTAAAACTACATGAAGGATATCGCTACTTCTTATTACATATTTTATAAACTATCAACTGCAATTGTGTTTCAGTTTTTCACATGCTAACTTAAATAACTTATTTTCATTATCTTTTTGTGCAACTTCCCAGTAAATATTGATATCCAAACAAAGTGGGTGTTACACTCCACGCAACATAAATTATCATAACTGGCTATATATTATATATATATATTTTTTTAATTAAATTACTTAATTATTATTAAATTATTTAGGAATAAATAAATTGTATAAAAGACACACCTTCTTTTTAAGAAAATACCACAGCTGCAAATATAACCTCCCAAATGACCACAAGGAATATGATCACAGAACCTATGATTATGACTCATTAGTAAGGCCTAGTCCCAGACACAAGAATACGAAGAATAAGATATGAAGAGGAGGAGAAGTAGAGAATTATAAGTATAAGACCAACAAATTGGCCCTAGATGGCAAATAAACTTCTACTATCTGCTGTAATTTTAGTTTATCAACTGGGTATCCACAGAGATGGCATCAGAAGTACTTAGTAACAAAGAGAGTTGAGTGAGTATAGTGAGTATAGTATGAGTGAGTGAGTGTCCTGCAAATGTAAGGACTAGGAAATTAGGCACAATCACAAGGACCTACTAACTGACTCCTTGTGGCTGAGCCATCTCGGTACAATAAAATTCACAAAATACTATACTGGACGGTACATAGATCTGACATTCAGGATTCCCAATTTACTGTCTCACTAAAATCCAATGAAAATTTAACAATATGGTATCAGTTAAACAATAGAAACTTCACAATCAACTGTCAAACCAAGTGGCAGATGACAGGTTTCTCACTGCCAGTAAGCAAGCAAAATTTTTGGAGGAGATTAGACAAAGGAAACTGCTCTTGCACATTTTCCCTAAGAAACAAGGGTGGAGTGTATCACCTGTAAACCATGGCTGGATGAATGCTGGCTCTAATGAGACACTATTACCATGCATGGGAAGCTAGGCAAAAAAGAAATGAGTTTCCCTCTGATATAATAGTCAAGATTCCAAAAACACTCTTATTCTGCAGCCTATTCATTCAAACAATCATCACAAATGATAACACATGGGCTTCATGACACCTGGCTAAACTGTACTGGCTTGGGCTTCATGATGCCTGCCTAAACTGTATTGGCTTGGGCAGAATGACATAACAGTCAGTGACAAGTGAATGCAATATGCCAACAATCCCTTAGACAGACACAAAATTCACAGACACAAGTTTTACTAACCACAAAATCTATGAGAATTAACTAGCTAGATCTATTATGTAGTATGAGTGCATAGGAAAGAAGACAAGCCAGAGAAACAAGAATCATATCCTTGAAAAATCATAATTCAACACAAATACACAATCTGCACAACTTGAGGGGGGGGGGCATAAAATATGAGGATAAACTATAATTCCGCGAGCTTGCTTAGCTGATTAATTGCATAAAAAAATGGAATATATTTGCATTCAGACCATTTAACATGTACACATACACATACACATACACATACACACACACACACAAAAATCTTAACATTTTCTTTATAAAGAATGGGGGAAAAGAATCTATGAAAGTTATACTTCTGACAGTTCAATCAAAAGTCAAAATGTCAATATCTATCTACCCATGTTCCAAACAATTCTACTGAATTTCATTTTCATTACCCTTGATATGTTCAAAAGTTATGCCTATATATACACTTGCTTTATCTCCAGAGGAGCTGGAAAACTGAACCCTTTCAATTTTCTTAACCCTAATATGGGTGAGATGACCATCACATTATGGGAAAATTTGGCTAGAGAGGCAGGTGAGGTGAACATGGCATCATGGGAAATCTGGCTAAGGCCAGGGTGACGGGAACTTGCTGTCATGAT